GGGGGGGGGCATTCTCTTAGCCACCCAAAAAACATGTTTGGGCTTCTTTCGCGGAGGAAAACGGCAAATTCCTAGAGCCCAAGTTTTCACAGCGCAATAGTCCGAAGGATTCCAGCTGGCGAGTCTAATAGGCCCATTTTCTAACAGCGATAGACTGTTTTTTTCGCTCCGTTAGAATGGGGGGTGTAACACGCCGATCGTACCAGAACGATGACCTACACCGTCTGCTGCTACAGAGGCCAAAAATCGTGAGGTCATGCACCACCCTCTGCAGGCTTCTAAAATTCATGGGTTTCTGCGTCTTGTTGACCGCACACGAGTCGAAAACGTCAACCCTGCCACTTTGTTTTACTGAACTTGTTGCCTCTTGGCGAAAGAGAGCTGTTTTTGTGCCCGCTGCATGTGTGACAAGTCAAAAACGCATGCCAGAGGGAGGCTTTAGGCCGACGAAATCCGCGATCTGCAGCCAATGACGTGCCGTCATGCGCATTCCGTCTTCTCGCGTCCCAGAAACAGAGCGTATTGTCCAGTTTCGATTGCACATGGCTTGCAAACCAACGTGTGAATCGAAGTGTTGAGTTGCTGGACGTTGCCTTTTTCTGGTTGCTCCGAGTGCGATCAGTTCACCACGCAAGCCAGAGGAAGGCCTTTGGCCGACGACATCCGCCAATGCCGTGCGATCATACTGCAGGCGACCCAACAACAGGGCGCTCTGTATTGTGCGGCGCACACGAGCGGAAAACATGAACTGAAGCATGTTGTAACCCACAGGAACGCAATTCGGAAAAGGGTCACAAGGTCCCTCGGATCTGATCTTTCTTTCCCTGGCAGGCCACCCCCTCCCTAACTGAAAGAGAAAAAAAGTCCCCGAAAAAAACGGTTCTTCAGAAACGACATTACAAGCGCGGATATAATTATGTGCATTACGTCTTGACAACAAGGCAAGAAAATGAAATGTGTCTCTGTGCACTGCTGTGTATCCAGGATGAACTTGCATTCCCCCAATGCTCATTCGGTCGCAACACAAAATGAACGCCTCTTTTGCACCAGGGGGGGTGCTAGCGGGGGGCCTGCACGCAGTGTCTGGACCCGACCACCTAGCCGCGCTGCTGCCGCGCATCATGGGGCAGAAGTGGCACAAGTCGATGAGAATCGGGGCCACGTGGGGACTTGGCCACGGCTTCAGCGCCACGGTCATCGGACTTGCGGTGAGACGTTATAGCTTCTCTGCCGTGTGCTGGTTGTGTTCGTGCTCTTGCTTGGGCTCATTTTTCCGTCTTCTCTTTCCAAGTGATTAGTCGTCGGAGGCGACGAGGGAAGGTGGAGCGGCCGTTGCTGCCGGGTGTGGAGCTGTCGCACGATGGTATCTTCCGTGAAAAGTGGTAGCACGTGCTGGTAGCATTTGCTGGCATTTTTCTTTCTCGTAATGTATCCGGCAACACTACCAGTATCGGCAAGACACCAGTCCGAACGGCAAGCCTTGTCCTCTCAAGAGCGTCCTGGGCACGTGCGCGACGTGTACCATCAACCATGCCACCTTCAACGCGCCCCTTCGTGAAGTTACTGTGCATCAAGAATATTACCTTCCACCAAGTGCGGGAAAAGTTCCCCTCAAGGCAGAGTAATACCGGCAAGGAAATTCACCCCCTCCCGCCACTCCTCCATGTCAGATATGGCGTTTGGCTCCATATTTTCTGCGGTGAACCTAGGTAGTGGTGCCTCCGTGTGCAAAATCTGGTTCGCGTACTCTAAAACGCAGGCAACGGAATGACTGAGCGCACCCCGCCTTCCCTCCCCAAACGGCAGGCGTTTTTCTTCAAGGACCGGCTGGGGCTCGGGCATAACAAACGGCTCGTGGCCATGATGGGCAGCTGGACGGAGGGTCTGGTTGGCGTCTCCCTCATCGCCATCGGACTCCTGGGCCTCAAGGAATCCCTCCTAGACTACGACGAAACCCCTGCCTACGAGGCGAAGAGCGCGGGCAGCGCGGTAGTGGAAGGGGGCGGAGCGCCGGGGGGCGGAGGCATGACGAAGAGCCGCGGGGGGGGGAGGGCCATCTTCTTTAACGGAGTGCTTCACGGGTTCTCGTGGGACGGGGCCCCGAGCCTGGCGCCGGCGCTCGCGCTGTCGTCGTGGGGGAGCGTGCTGTGGTTCCTTCTCGCGTACTGCTCGGGGACGATGGTGAGCTCCTGCTATTCCCCAAATTGGGGTCTCTGTCAGCACTAAAATTGTACTGTAGATTTTTTTGTGATTGTGGTGTGACCTGGAAATTTGAAGGAGGAGCTTTGAGACCTTTCTTTTGACTGCGGGGGGCAATTTCTCTCAGCTCACGCAAATGATATGGCGGCTACCGTTGTCCTACTTGTTATGTGCAGAGTCTAGTGCGGTGTTTTTGACTGATCTACGAGGTCTGAACGATGTACGCTTGTCGTGGGCATGGCTATCCCTTTGCCTCGCCGGTCAAGTGTACGGCTTTACATGTGTGTTTTGCCCACGCGGGCGTGGCGTGGCTCGATTTTCGATCGCTGCTCCACGAAAGGGCACGAGGACAAATGTTGTTACTGCTGTGTCTTGTAGTTTGTCCTCTCTCCGCCATGTTTTCTTTGTTTTGCGCGGAATGCCAGCTGGTTCTCTACCGGTGTAGACCAGCATGGAATAAGGCGACGTACTGAGTCGCACGAGCCCCGTATTTTTTGTCATGTTCAGGTACACACAGAACAACAGTCACCTGCCACAAGCAACTGCCACTACTTCCACGTATCATGGGGCCTGCGCTTTGTTACGACTCGCCACCGTTATGTTAGTTGGACGTTTTTTGTTCGCATGGCCTAGGTATGCTCTTGGAGTGATGTGCCAGAAGGTGGCGTGTTTCTGTGCTGGCACAACACGACGAGCGGCTTGATAGTGAATCCGACAAGTGCTAGGCGGCCCGCCGGGGAGCTGTTTTGCGCATATGCAACTGTCTACATGCATAGAGATGGTTATTTCAAATAACAGTAGTCTTCCCGCTTATGAAAAGATCCACGCGTGTAGTCGTTGGTACGCTTGAAGAAGTAGCGACCATCCGGTTGCTTTTCGAAGTTTGGTTTCGGTAGTCATCATGCTGGTCGCATTTACCCTGGGGCGTTTTTATTTCTGGTTGAGATGCTTCTAACCTGTAGTGCTGCTGCACCGGAGGGAGACTTTCCGTTTGAATGAGCATCCCCTCGCGATGTAGCGGTCGAGGCGAGCCCCCCCACGTGAGGGCGGCAAAAAACAAGGAGCTCGTTTGTGGCCTTTCTTCTTTGTGTGTCCCAGGCTGGTGCTTCCGTTGTCCCGTGTATCCCGGAAGGTGTGAACTGACGGTATTCTGAGATGGGGTGACAACGCAACACCGCAAAACGTTTTAAAGCCACATTCGGCAAAGTAGGAAGGGACGATTGGCCATCAGAGTCCGGTCATGTGGGAACAATGCTCCGTCCTCTTGAGGAAGCCTTGTCAACGGTCTAACCGCTAAGGCATACAAGACATGAGTACGCCCCCCCCCCATTCCTCCGCGAGTACCCCTCCTTGACCATGAACACCCCCCTTTTTTCTCGTCTTTCGTGTCGCTTTTTTTCGCCGGGGTGCCTTTTCAGGTGGCCATGTCGGCGACCACTACCTTGATCGGGGAGGGTAGCGTAAGAGTTGGCAAGGCCTTGGACCAGCCGGACATACCGAGGAAGCTTTCGGTGGTCTCGTCCTTCGTGGCCATCGCCATCGGTGCCGTTTGGCTGGCGAAGGCGGTGTTCTTTTAACTTGTTTTCCGGAGTTCCAGGAGGACACGATTTTGAGACTACATACAAGAGCTCCCCGTTCTGGCTATCGAGGCAGAGCAATACAATGATGTGAAAGGCGGGAGCAAGCACTTCCTTGCGATTTAGGGTACTATAGCAAAAAGGGAGTATGGGTGGGAGAATAGCATGTGGACTTTGCAGAGATCGGAACGGGAGACGCCTTGGAAACTGTCGGAATAATTAGTACTTACACCAGAGTTTGCAGTTTTTCTGGGCAACTAGAAATGGTAGCCCAGTGCTTGGCGTCGACGTTGGCCTTGAAGGTGGCGTGTGGGTAGCAGTTTGTTGCATAGTGTCGGGGCTCGAAAAATACGACGGCGCTTGCCTTGCAGTATTGGTTCTCGATGCCGATTTGAGACAATGTCGAGCAGTTGGCTTGTCTCTAGAATGCGCGTGCAAGAAGGTACTTCTGTTTCGCCACAGCTTTGTGGGTATTGTGCGGCAAGCCTGTGGTGTTGTTCGCCGTTTTGAGTCCAAATTCTGAACTCAGTGTCGCTTGCAACGGCGCTGTTGCTTCTGACCCATTTCTTATGCCAGTCTGATGCAGTTCCCCATCACAAGGGATGGTATGGCGGATGGGCAACATACAGCAGTAGTTGCTGCAGCAGAGGGCACCTCGCGCTCAAAATGGTGTTGGAAGGCATGGTTCTTTTGTCCTTGTAGTTTGCCCTTAACGCGCCCCACCGAATGCGTGCCTCGCTTGCAGTCCGATGGGTTCTACACGCCGTGTACTAAGAAATCCATCGAGGAGGCGAGCGCGCTTTGTAGAATCCGAGATGTAAGTGTAGCGTCCTCCGCAAAAGTACTCTCCAAGCCGCAACGCCGCAACCGCATGCTCTCCACCTTCGCTTGGTACTGCTGTGCAGTAACTGATCTACCGAACACGTACCTGTTGAACCCGAAAGACTAAGTGGTGTACGACGAGAGTGTGTCCACTCTACCCCGCTCAGAGAGAGAGAGAGAGAGAGAGAGACCCGAGCATCAAAGAAACACTCATACGCCACACGCGAGCCGCCGGGTCGCGGGGAAAATGCGGCGGAGAAACTCCTGCGTCCTACACACGGAATGTGAAAGTTTGGCCAATAGAATGCCCACGTGAGCAACGGCGTGTAGGTTGCGCCGCATGGGCCCTCCCTCTCTGCTCTTCTTCTGCACCCGCACATCCCTTGAATACAGCTCTGTCAACTGGGCATAGGAGAAGGTCAGGAGGATGTCTTCATCATATAAGCGCCTGACGATCAAGCGGTTCCCTCGCGTTCAGGAGCGCGAGACCGCGGAGGCGCGATATTGGCGAAATTTCACCAACCCCGAAGTCCAGGTGCGATTGAAAGGACCAGATCTGCTCTTGTTGGCTGCCACAGGGTGTGAGCTGTCTCTAGGAGCGCCCCCCGTCGTCGATCACGTCGACCCCCCTAACCTCGAAGCGACGATGGGGTGGTGAAGAGGTGTCGGCGGGACGGGGGTAGAGCGATGGCGATGCTCCTGGCTCTATACCCTCCGGAGGCTGTTGCTCGCGGTGTAGATTGGTGTCGTCATCCTGCTGTCACCGCCAAGGGAACGGCCAACGTCGCCATCACCACCACCACCGCTGCGCCGAGTCTGTGCTGGGTGTGCATTCTTGGCTCTACGCTCATTGCGCGAGAAGGGTGAGGGGCTGCCAAATCTTCCATCGCATCCAATAGCCTTATATACGGGGCTGGTTTCTCTCTACCACAAGCAGGCAACCACAGCTGCTGCCGGATGTATGCGGGGTAGACTAAACTGCTGTATACACAAACAATGTGAGACCTGTGCCTGCAGCAAGACCCTTTCGACTGAGGTTTTATCTCGAACAGGTAGTCTTTGTGTGAGGTCATGTTTGCCCTCTAAGAAGAACAGTGATGCTGCCAACAGCAGCCGCGGCAGCAGGCGAACACCATCAGCAACAGCGACAGCAACAGCGTTGCCCTCCACCCACCTGCCGGGCAAAATCACCTCTGCGAAACACACCGCTGTACCAGCAGTAATACCAATGGCAGTAGTGTACCGTATGACACAAGATAACACACCCCCTGGACCGATTTTCAAAGCTCGATTACTCCACGTCGAAGAGAATGCATAAACGAAATGATACATTTTCGAAAATCTCTCGACGAGACGGTTTCAACGCGGCCGTTTTCGGCGATGTGACTGTTCCTTCAGTTGAGAAATCGAGCTTCGAAAATCGGTCAAGGGGGTGTGGTATCTTGTGTCCTATACGGTATGCGTAGGGTCCATAGCGCTCGACTGCTGTGTTGCGTTTCTCAAATTTACAGCGCAACGATGCACCACTGCTTTACAACACTGCTGCACACTACGCCAGCATGGTTTTTTACTGTCATGTGCGCCCTTGCCATCAATCTCCCCAAATTGGGCACAAGGGTGAACATTGACACTCGACTGTTGGCGCACGCTGGAGCAGTTTTGTTTGGGCGCTTCCTGAGGTCAACATTTTCTTTGGCAACGTAGTGCCTTCCCTACAGCAGTACAACACATGTTTTTGCTTCGAGTTTCAGCAAATTAGCAAGATAAAGAGTGGTATGCATATGCAGGATGACTTTACACCTGCTATTCCTGTCTTCAAAGATAGAACCAACCATGCTGCGGTTAGTTGCCGATGAAGTACCTGCTTAAAAAATCGGTACCAAGGCACACATCCCACCAGGTCTTCGTAGTAGAGATGTTAGCAACGAATGCGATCATGTTCTCCTCCCCATCTTGCCAAAATACACTCCACTTGGAAGCGGCAAGAGCCTGACCCCGACGGCACGGACCCGCATCGAACAAGAGCCGTATACCTTACACGAGCTGATGATATGTGTGCGAACAAAAGAAAACTCTACGGCCGTTCCTCGTGAAACCGTGGGCTGCGCCCTGCCGCCCCTCGCGCTGTATTGACCCACATGCCACTCTTTTTTCTTTCGTGGAACGCTACACGACCGCTCCCTCACCGCCCGCTTACGACACCTGACACCGTGTATGTCGACCTTACCTTATGTCTCGTGCGCGATGTTCTACAGCATAGCTCGGACCTCCCCCTTTCCTGTTGGAAGCTAAAGTTGACCTACGGTCAGCAGATTCAGGTCGTCAATGCTGTCATCTAACTACGTCCCCTCTCGTTTCCCCTTTGTCCAGACCCACAACGCGCCGGTGTCATGCATCCACTTCAGCGCCACGGCCCCGCACGACTTCGCGGTGACGTGCTCCACGCACGTCTCCCTGCACGCGGCGGTCACCGGGCGCCAGATTCGGAGCGTCGGCCGCTTCGACCACGTGGCGTACAGCGCTCAGCTCCGCTCTGACGGGAAGCTCATGGGGACAGGGGACCACACTGGGACCGTCAAGGCGAGAAGGGGGGGGG